AGGAGCGGGACCAACAAGGTAATCCACTCGTTGGAAAGAACTAGCGCTGCTATTTCTGTCATCATCAAAATCGCTATCAGACATGTCAGCTGTCTCTCCAGTCTCTGTACTAGCTGAGGATACAGTGGACTGCGGGCTGGAAATAAGTCTATACAATTTGAAAAGTCAAAAAAGATACACTTTGTCCAATTACCGAGTTGTTGCAGATCTCGACGATAAACCACCATTCTCGTGTCGTTCACGCACAAATGAGGAAGGAGAAGGTGTACTGGGTTCAGAAGGCATATTCACAGCGGCAGGGGCACTGCTAGGCTCATCTTCACTGACAGACACAAAAATAGTGGGCTTCTGAATGCGAGAAAAACCATAAGGCATTCTGTAGCTTTTTGTATCTGTCAAAGCAAAGAAAAGAATTGCAAAAAGAGCTTAATGACAAGGCTATAAATAGATAAATTGATATTGATCATTAATAATCAATTTAGACCAAGAAGAATCAGATACATTTTTGATTAAACATACCAGACTTCCGAAGCACTCCTATGTCTATGCGTGGGTTAGCATAATTGTACCCCCCAAATGTGGGGGAAAATACAAACCTTCTTCTGTACCATGATCAGATTTATCCCAAACACGGTCATTCCACAGAAAAGCATACACTGTTACCAACTGAGATAACTATGACTTGCGCTAATTCTAACCCTCTCTTGACAAACTTCCCAAAAATGCAAGATAGTGAGATTATCCTTGATCTCTCCATTTTTCTGCCTTGGCTTTGTCATTCCTACAATCGCTCTAGCACGATCAAATTGCAGGCGCGCATCAAAAGCAGCAACTAGAATGCGCCCCGTTCAAGCTGCTGCGGAGATACAGTATACATAAATCAAGCTCAGAGGAACAGACTACATCTTAAAACTGCGAGATGTTTGTAAACATGTTTATCATATTCAAGATGAGTAACTCTCGACAGGTAGGAAAAAGAATGAAACTATTATGGTTAACTTTATCCAAAAAACATCAAGTTCTGAACGGCTCCCTTTAATTTTTGTTCTAAGATTATTGAAGTTCGATTGCCTGGTACGATTTTGTGTGAAAGTTACAAGAGTAAACATAATTCAGGCATTTACGACGTACTTGAACAAAACTGCATAAAATTTCTGCTATGCTTAGGAGGTTCCTAAATTTAAAAGGCTGATGTCTGCAAACAAAGTGGCAAAAACATTCAAAGCTTATTGAGATTGTTTCGATTGCAAGTGAAGATTTTAATGGTCTCATGTTACAGCTATTGATGGACGCCCGCATACAACAAATGAAGATAAGAAGCAGAGAAGAAACCTAGAGGAGAGTCGAATATAGTTCGTGATAATTCACTGCAAAACGCTTTACTCAAACTGATCATCTAT